TTAAAAAATAAATATAGAAATAAATAAAAAAAAATGAATTAATGAATAAATAAATAAATGAAAATATAAATTAAAAAATAAATCAAAAAATAAATGTAAAAATAAATAAATAAGTAGAAAATATAAATTAAAAAATAAATAAAGAAATAAATGTTTTAATAATAAAAGAGTATGTAAGTGATTAAATAAATGAAACAATTAAAATTAATTAAAAAGAAAAATTAATAAAGAATATATAAAAATATATCACAATAATATAATATATAATATAATATATTAATTTAGAATAAATTTTATAAGATTGAAAATTATTTATTATATAAAAAAAATTTGAAGTTAAAATTATATCAGCGCGTCGACAAAGTTCGATAAGAAATGATCGTTCCGTCGCGACCTGTCTCTTATTTATAGGACGCGAAGATTTACGGAAATATACGTCTTTTGCCGATTGTTCTAAATCCATTTTTCGAATATAATAATCAATAATTTTTCAATTTTTACATTTTTTATTGTTAATTTATACATCTAATAATTTATTACAATATTAAATGTAATAATTAATTTATATTTTTACGAAAAAAGTAAAGTTCAATTTACTCTTTTATGATATTAATTTTTTATTTATAATTGTATTGAAATATTCTTAGTACTATTTTATGTAGAAAATAATTATAAAGCAATTATTAATTTCTGATAGTCAAGTATTTCAAAATTTGTATTATAATATTGTATTATTAAATATTGTAATAGTTTAAAATTTGTAAAATTTTAATTGGTAAAATTTTAATTGATATTTATAATTGATATAATTTAATAATTTTTTTATAACAACAAATACAAAATTTATATTTTTGCAAATTAAAATTAAATTTATGATATTATTTTCGATTTATAACTATGTAAACGTATTCTAAATGCCATTTTACGTTTCTTCAATTTAAATTCTTAAAACTTGTTTGTTTATATATTTCGTTTCTTTATTTATTTAATTAATATTATTATATTTCTACCCTATATCTTTATTTATTCAATTACTTATACATTTATTAATTCATTTATATAATGTCTTGTTTCTAAATTTTTTTGTTTTGTTCATTTATATGTTCATTTATACAACAAATTATTTATTTATTTACTTATAGATTTATTCATTTATTTAAATAATGATTTAATTATAAACTTTATTGAGACTTTTATTCATTTGCTCAAGAAGATAAAACCAATGTTCAAAGTTTCAGTAATTTTTTACTCTTTTAAATATATCATTCAAATTATTTTTGTAATGGACCAAACCAAAATTTTAAAATATAAAAAAAAAACAAAATTTGTTAAAATATTTTAATACCTAAAAAATTAAAAACTGGAATCGCGAAAAGCAGTCAATTAGCTCATATTATTTACTATAAAATGTATAGTTGCATCAAGAATACAAAAATAAATTATGCAGTAAATAATGATTTCCAGGTCTCATCAACTTGGAGGTTGCTGCGAAGTGACGACTCACCCTATCCACACGATCCCATCTACTCTCCATTACACAAAAATTTATTTAAAATAAATGATAAATATTCCTTTTGATGTAAATTTGCAAAACGTTCAATCTTTGATCGTTGTACAAAACAAACAGCAAAAGGAATCTCAAGGAAAACCGAAAAGCTAAACTTGAAAATAAAACTTGAATTAAATTTTAATCATATATAACTCTACATGAACACAAATATATTTCTTCGTACATACATCAATATTTTATATTATTATGAGTATAAATATATAAAATACTAATATATTACGAAGTTTGAAAGCAAAAAAAAAAAAATGAAATGCATTTCACAGAGAATTATATTTATATTATTAACATCTCCACTTTTAATATCAATAACCATTATCATCACACCAAGCATTACTAGGCATGCAAATATATTCTACTTTCTACAGCAGCAATTCTACAAGCCATCTATTTACAACTTTTTAAAATTTTTCAATATAAAAATTTCAATAATTCAACTTAGAAATATCCGAATCATAAATGTGATTTAATTAAGGAAATAATTAACATATAACCTTCAAAATCAAGTTTCATCTAAACCTCCTACTCTCTTTGTGCTACCAATATCTTAGTTAAATCCTTATTTCAAAATCACTTTATTCCTAAGTCTAAAAGTA